TGCAGGAATCGAGGAAGAAAATAGTCGCAAATGGGGTCTTATTTGTGGCACGTGATTAAGAGTGAGCGGCTCTGAGCGGCTCGCCGAAATGGTTTCTTCAACGATCGGAGCGGTGTCCAGCTACAACGATCGGATGGCCTAGTGGATAGCGTGGAGGATTCTCAATCGGACAGGAAGGGTGAGATGCTATATAGGCAACCCTATAGGCAAACTTTCGGCCAGAAATTTTTTACTCTTTTGTATTTCAGAGTCATTGTGTAGAAGTCGAACTTTCCTGATTACTGAAACCTTCCCTTTAGTGGTACAGAAACATAAAACTAACAAAAACAATAAACGCCATGGAAAGAAGAAGAAGGAGGTTATCATTCCCGCAGAGGCATTTGAAAAAGTGGAGGAGATCGGATGAGTCCCTTCTCTTAATAGTGGAGGACGACATCTTTGTAGAGCGAGCAGTCGCTAAAGGTCGACAAATCTCTAGAATAGGTTTTCACTTGTTCCTGGCTACCGCATGCCCAGTTCGAAGCAGTGGATATGGACCTCATGAGCACGAATCCGCGAATAAGGCTTGACCGGCGGGGCGGCCCCCGCATCATCGCTTACGTCGTCACTGCCCGAAAGTTGCTGACTTCGAGCCATTATTGCCTAACTAAATGGGTCTACCAAGAAGTCAAAAAAATTTTTTTTGGCCGAAAGCCTATAGGGGTAATCGTTGGTCCTCATCACGATTCTGATACTTATTTTTGGCGTCGACGCATTCTGGCGTCAAAATGGCCCTAGATGTCCCTCACACTGTACATATCGAGTTCAGTGATAGACGTGGCTCCAAATTGGCGATAAAACAGCTGAAACTAAATGCCATTGTCGTGACCAGGGCACTGAACAACTATAAAGACCAACTTCCAGAAAAATTGTTGCTCAATAGCATGAGAAAATTGAAATTGTTGAATAGCACCGACTCACAACTATTCAGAATATGCCCATAAATAGTAGATATCCGAAAATTAACAGCCCTATGTGGAATCGAGACTAGCTGAACATAAAAAATGCAAAAACTCGCCTGCCGAGGGGAGTTTAACCATCAACCCCACCCTCACTGTCCGATTGAGAATCCTCCACGCTATCCACTAGGCCATCCCGTCGTTGTAGCTGGACACTCCGAATGAAGAAACCATTCCGGCGTGCCGCTCAGAGCCGCTCACTCTTGATCACGTGCCACAAGTAAGACCCCATTTGCGACTATTTTCCTCCTCGATTCCTATAGTACCTTTATAAGGACCCTCCACTCAGCAACTGGTCAGTTGCAAGTGAGCATCGACTGGTCGGAACAAGCAGAGAGCGCGCCCTCAAACAATGACTCCTTACGGCATTCGGCTCCCTGGGCACTATTGCGCCTGCTCAATGTGGAAAATTCCATTGAAACTCCACGGATGTGATGTTGCTAACCCTCCCCGTATGTCTACTCTATGAATGATGGAATACCTGCTTACCTTCACTAGCATACGAGTAAGCCGGAACGGTATCTTCTCTGGGAACTTTTCTCTAGTCATCGCCACATCGAAACAATCACCGAAATCAATGTGTACGATTTTTCCGGTGAGTCGATCTAGCATGAGATTCGAAGGATGCCTTAAAAACAAATCGTGGACATTTATCCCAAATTCACCACCAGCTCAGTTTAGTTCATTACAACTACACACTATGGTGAGGACTTACCTATCACCCAATCCCAAAATGTACCCAACCATCGACATACACGCCATAGACCTCGTGTAGTTTGTTCGACGATCAAACCATACTTCAGAGCTGAATACATACATTAGAATCAGGCCTTCAAATTCTCAGGAACAACCCGGTTTTGGAGTCAAAGCTGATGTTTTCCTTGTGCCAGCGATAGAGATATTAGGTTGTCCGGAAAGTTCTCAGCGTTTTGTGTTACTATTTTTGTACATTCATTGCTGATTAAAAACTCATTCTCCCTTGCGTCTCAGTAGTACATCCTGAAGAGAATTTTTGCGCTATCTGATGGTATAATTGCCGTTTCACCATTGCTTGATAAACCCCCTTTTCCCAAGACTTTTTGAAGCATGTCAAAAGAGCAACTTCGGACGATATTTTTCTTCATCTGTTTACGGCTGTATTCAGCCGCCCCATGTCCCCAAAATGAATACTATGGTAATCATTCCGTCATCTGTCGTATCGTTAATATCATTTTCCGGCTTATATATAGTGGGTCTGTATAAGCGATCAAACACTTGCCATGCTGGTGCAAATTCTTATGCTTGGAGCTTTTTTGGAAAGTAAAACAGAATTTAATTGGTCTCTCTGAATTCTCGATGTGTGCCTTCTTTAATCTTTTCTTGGTGCCGTTGCGGTTGTTAGGTGGAACTATTAGGTTGTCCGGAAAGTTCTCAGCGTTTTGAGTGTTTCACTTCAACGATCATAACTTTCTTAATACTCATCGGATTTAATCGAAATAAGCACCATTCGAATCAGCACACTTTTGCCAATGTGACACACGTCGATATCCCATCAAAGAAACATGGTGGAACGAGAATCTCACGAATCCACGAAGGCTTTTTTGCGCTGGTCCTGATTTGATGAAAGTATTTTCCGAGCAAAAGGAGTTCTTCAAAATGTTTGAAAAATGAGAATAGTCGGTTTTGGTGAAAGGTCTGAAGAATGGCGGTTGAGGTAGAACTTCAACCCCCAATTCGTTCAATTTATGGATAGTGATTTGTGAAACGTGTGGGCGGGCGTTGTCATGCAAAGAATCGGACCCTTTCTGTTGACAAGTGCTGGCTGCAGCTGACGCAATTTTCGACTCTGCTGTGATGGTTTGGCCTGGTGACAAAAAGTTATAGTGGATCACACCAGGCCGATGAC